AGAAATCCAGGTTGCATGGGAATATAATACATTCAGCTAACCACCTTATCTGCGCCATCTGCCGAGGCTCTTGATACCCATTATTTGTCTACCCTCATATGAGTAACTATGCAATGCTCAATGTTTTCATTGCAAATCACTCGTTCATTGTTTTCCCAGCCATGTCTAAGTGGTTCCATTCCAAACCCCGCTGTGAAGGTACCATCGTGCCCAGGTGTCGCACCACATACTCATTTGAGATATTAGATAATTAAATGTTGTGCAAGATACTTCTTGTAAAGCTGCTAAAATAGTTTGCACACTCTTTCGAAAGCCGATGATAGAACAGGGTGCAGCGGAATTTACCACATGTGTTGGGGATGTGATAGCGTCAAGGGGACCATCAGGAAATGTATAATATTATCGTCTACCAACGCTTATAGCAAGGCACCATCTACAATACACAGGAACCCTAAGTCATCTGTGTTTTGCGGTACATTTAGTTGTGCATAATTCTACCTGGTAACCATAGTGATGGCATTTGCTTCCGTAGTTCCCTATTTGTCTCTGTTGATACCCACACTTCTGACTAGACTTAAGGCTGCCGTTTAGGTTAAAATCCAGACGCTAACTAACCACTGACAGTCGTATTGGTTACTTATAATTCTACGTGTGATTTTTTAAAACTAGAGGAATATGGCTGTTATTCTTTCATTCAATCCAAACTCATGCACGTACGTAATGTTATGGTTCATGAGAGTTATTGTTTCTCCATCCAGTTTGTGGTAGTCCATATACAAGTGTGAACAAATGCCCGTTCGCAACACTGCTGTAACTCGAACCAGGGACCTTTGGTATGTCAACTGATATCTCACGTTGAATCACTAAGTGGAAGTTATTTAGAAACATTTATATGCACCACACTTCAGCCTGACAGACTGATGGCATTTTCACTCGCGTAACACCATTATCTGCTGGCTCGATGTCTAAATGGGACTCGCCTAAAGTACAAATCTCGCTAACATCTGCTCGTGTCTCGATACATTCCCACTTGACGGATGGATCTTATTACTTTCTTCGTGTGACACCGTGACTTATTGCGGGTTGCAATATGAGATCAATGTATCCCATCTCAAATGTCTCTATACGCTCCCTTGTACTGCTGCCGCCTTCAGGTAAACGCACTGAGATTCAGACAAGCCATCAAGCTTGATTCCGGAACAGCGGCAATAAGTCGTGACACCCAAATCGAAATGTATGGGCATAGGTAGTATTCTAGACACTGATGAATTGGTCGAGATATGCTAGCGGTCAGAACGAATGACCAGGGGGAAATAACTAGTAACACACGACGGACTGCCTGGTGGTTCTACATCCCAGTTGACTCTTGGACTAAGAGACGAACATAACCGACTCTGGTTTTACCTTCCGACACTGATAGCCTGAAGTGGACATAATCGCATCATTTCCCTGCTAACCTGAAAAGTTGCTTACGCCATCTCCGTCATCTACTATGTGTCATCCTTATTCTATTTCCCGCATGTAAGTCGCGCTTGGGTACAGTTTTATTCTAGAATGATTAACTACTGACTTGGTGCAATGTGGAACCTTATTACACCTGGCTAGAACGAATGAGCCACACCTAACCTAACTTTATTGAGCTCATTTAACTCGGTGGTATTTCGCGATGAGTTCATGTGTTGCCCATTACAATGTTGTACTCATCATGACCTATGCTATGCTATTATTGCTATCTTCTCTAGTGGAGTCTAGTACGGTGAAATACCGAGACGGTGAGGTACGGCATCTTTCTCTTCGTATCATTATTACTCGGCCGCGATTCACATCACTATGTAAACTCCATGGTATTAATCACCAGGCTACGCTATCTACATTCTGCTCCTTGAAATCGATTTGTAGATTACATAACCCTAACTTGACCAGCTGCTCAATGCTATCAAGACGCTTAGAGAGCTCGTGCATCGCAGAATAATGGTTCCGTCCATCCATGAGCTCATTCGTAATTGACGTGCGCGCGGTGTTTCCGAGCGAATTGTAGGCATTGATACGGATCAAGGCTAGGGTGGCAAATTATTGTGTATGTTTCCAGTTCGATGGATACGTTTGAATCAAAAGGTTATCATTGCTTGCCTGATTATAGTACGCACAAAGTGTAAAGTTTGACACTTGAAACACAATGCTCAACGAGTGTCCCTCGTGTGACCACATTGGACTATGCATTCGAAGAGAAATTTCCCTGGAAATCCTCTGGCAAGTGAACAATCCACACAATTAACCGACTAGTGATTATCACGATGTCGACAGTTCATGTTCCGCTCCGCAGGTTAGAAATGAGAGGGAGCATAGTTATAGTTCCAGTTGTTCCTCAGCCATAGGGAATTTACCGGGGCTTATGAAAACGCACGTACTAAGCGGATGGAATACGGAAGCGCAGAGACGCCTAGCAGAAGTTGCATTGCACATGACCAATCTGTTGTATAGACGAAGTGTAGTGTCAAACCCAACGGGAATAGTACGTCAGTGTATTAGTATATTACATTGGAAAAGAATCGGCGCATAGCGACAGTCATTTTATGAGCACCAAATGGCTGAATCCGGAGACGTACGATACAGATCTTTATCAAATAGCTTATGGAGACAACAGAGTACACATGGGTATGTACAAACGTTGGAATACTTGGGCATTTGCAAAATAATACGAGCACTGTTTGGAAAGTCGCATGTTTGACAGTAGACAGCGGGACTTTATTGATGTCAACTGTCAATATCAAAGGTTGCGCATCAATCGCTCTTTGAGAATGTGCACCTACCTCGGGTACCAGATGAACGGACCGATGGGTGACACGGAGAGCCAGAAGTGGACACTTCATCACGTTCGCATGCTGTGCGATCTCCTCCATTAGCTACGCAAAACCGACTGTACATATAGACGGCAACACCTAAGTGCACAATATTTCACTGTACCAGTAGTTTAGTTATCCTTCTACCTAGCAGTTGCTTTACTATTGCTCTATCGGGTTCTTTCAAATATGGATGCTCAAGATTTAAGGCTCTCACGTCTAAATGTTGAAGAAAACATCAACAGTTCGTATTGGGTACTTATTCCCATGCCTGCGAAAGTGGTTATTAGCCTGACCTCCAAACGAAACCCATACACGTTTGTCGTACCATTGATCATGAGGTCTAATGTGTCGCTATCCAATTTGTGATAGCTCACACTTCGGTTTGGATAAACGCATGTGCATATGTTGTATTCGAACTGCCATTGGACATGGAGGACCCAAATCCATGTATATACGTATATCGAATGAATTCGACGAGGATACTCATATCGATTTTGTACGGTTAACTTAGTGCTGGAAAACGGCACTCGAGCAAACCGAAAATAACGTTATCAGCACATGAAGGAGGTGAGTTTATGACAAACTCATGTTGATTACAGGTGTTGCGAATCCAAGTCAAATTCTGATCAATGCGAATTCTGTGGACTACTATAAAGGGCGGTTGCTCAGGTGCAGGAGAAGGTACTATTGCACGCGGAATAGAAGCATGATGCGTACGCTCCCATTCGATTTACTAATCCAGGCCAATAAGGAGGCGTATGTGGTACGTTTGCCTGTGTGATGAGTAATCTTGCATTTCAGAAGCAGATGTTGCTTGAGCTCCACGGTGTAGCTGCGCCTGATGTGAATGTTGACAAGGTGCCTACCTGTCTATTACCCACTACCTCCTCCACACTGGCTCCAGGAGACAGTTGGTCGTTATTGGTGGGGACGGGGTGCACCGTTTTCGTGCCAGTGCTAGGCTCAAAGAGTGGTTCCATCCTGTGTGGAATGGGCTATGTTCCAGCCACCGCCGTGTATACGTCTGGCGTGCATGACTTTCCAATTAGGCCGGAATGCTTCCGTTCTGCTTGTTGAAGGAGTGTGGGCCGGCTCCGTTGATGAAACTTCGCTCCCATTCACATGCCTCCCGGTATTATTCCTTTGGGCTTACAATGGATATGGGGTGTGTGGGTGGAACTGTGGGTGGTGCAGCGCAAGCCACCCATGGTCCCTCTTTAGGCTCAGGCGTCCTGTGGCTGGCCACAGTGACAGACAAATCCGAAACCGGATGCCGCCAAGCATATGTGGAGTTGCCTATCGAATAACTCAATCGTAGAACACAGGAAGACATGAAGCGGCTGTCAGTCTTCGACAATCGCTGTGTACGAAGGATTGCTCGGGTGTGGTGGCAACACCACGTAAGCAACGCATAGGTGCGAAACCGCGTGCTTGGAGCGAATAGTGCCAGTCCTCAGATCATTATTCTCCGACATCGCATGCGTTGTTTCGGGCACGTTCTGCGCATGTTAGCCCATCGCCTTCCACGTCGAGCGCTATTTGCACTCCCAGGGAGCGACTGGAGAAAGTGCCGCGGTGGACAGCGAATGACGTGGAGAAGGAGCATGATGAAGGCAACCTCAAGTTTGGCGGCAGTCGGACCAGTTCGTCTTCCAGTTTGGGGACAACGAGATGCTGAATCGCAGTGGTTGGAGACATTAGACGTCATGGCCTGCAACAGACATCAGTGACGTCAATGTTGTTCTGCCATTATATCCCTCCTTTAATCCACACAAAAACAAAACAAAAATACAAAATGGAGCGTTTAAAACCAAAAAAATCGTTTTACTCGCAGCTTATGTTTCCATCCTCTTCACTTTTTTTCTGCAATGGTTCTGATGGCACAATGTCCGTTGACAGATTGCGAATATATATATATATATATATATATATATATATATATAACACAAGTGGCACAGGAATTCCATATTTTCGATGTACTGTTGTCTGACAGCTGATTATTTATACCGTGTCTAGCAGCGAAGCAAAATTTCACATGCCGAGTAACAACTAAATGAAGTGACGGAAAGATTATGAAGTGCACAAGCATAAAAAGCACTGGTTCACAAAGGCAAACATTTCAGTTGGTAGAGCGTTCATGGCATTTTCACGGCTCACCTTATAGGGAAGTCGCCGCAAGATAGCCTGATCCAGATCGCCCGGTCTATTTGTTGCCCCCACGATTAGGATTCGAGTATTCTCTTCAGAAAGCAATCCATCCCAAAGAGCCATAAACTGAGTCTTTATCATACGTGTGGGCTCGTTATCAGTGTAGCTCCGTGAGGTGAGAAATGAGTCTGATAAAGGACAGGTAGAAGCAAAAAAATATGGGTAGTCTGGCTAGTCAGCCAAAGTCCAAGTCAAGATAAGCCTTATACACCCGTGTGGGAGGATTTCTACCACTACACCAACACGGCGGACATACTACAACATGAAGTCGGTACGAAAATGGTGTGAAATAACACGAACAACAAAAAGAGTACATTTGTAAGCAAGCAAACGTTCTTGTAATTGTTGCATCATCACTCGTGGGTCGACTAACAAGCGAGACAGATAAGGCAAAACGGAGTTGCGAAACGAAGAGGTACGGAAAACCAAAACTAAATTTCCACCGCGTTGAAGAAATGGATTTCGAACTGGCTAAAACGGCGAGTAGGTCTTTTAGAATCTTGGATGAGAAAAAGTATGCGTCAAAATGCTTGCTGACCAAAAGATCAACGAGGGTTTCTCTGGTTAATCCAGAGCATCGGGAAATTAATTTCAGTGATCTCGCAAGAGTATAATTCCTTTGAAGTAGTCCGGAGAAAATAGTGGGGAACAGTACAGCCAATGGGGGAGAATACATGCATTTACAAACTTTTGAATTAGAGTACGCGGTACGGAGGGCATTTCCATCATAAGAGAGTAAAAGGATAGTATTTTGACGTTTGGAAAAGTCTCAAGAATATGCGTCGACCAGGATAAATTATAGGACGGAAAAACACCTAGATACATTACGGAATATGAACGAGGGATGCTATGGTCAATTACAACCAAAGGAGGGGAGGCGTGTAGAAGGACAATGAGGACAGTCATATGGGTCCCAAACGAGGATCAGTAGTTCCAAATAAAATAAAATAAGGTAACAGCTAAACAGCCAAATGACACTAGCTGCAGTAGATGGCCGCGTAATTCCGACGGTAGATGTAAGCAACCTCAGCAGCCCCGGGCTAGAAGGTACCTGTAACATGTAAAATCGAACGAACCAGAACATCATAATGGATGAGTGTTTGTTTGGAAAGTTAGAAGGCATGAGTGACCACATATCGTGCAAAAGCAAACACCGGTCTGCGTTCCCATGTGCTTCGACCTTATGCACCAGTGTGTGTATGGAAACGAGAACACACCCGTTTAAGCGAAATCCCATGCATGACAAAAACGACTGAATAAGTGACAGTTGCAAAGTGCGGATCACATGATCGTTTGCATGAACAAGTAGGAAGCCTAGCTGGTAGGTCACAGTTGAGTGGTCGACAGAGTACTCGAATGCCCTTTCAAGCGCTAATTCCTCAAGAAACTATTCGATTGGGCGCCAGCACCCACAACTTCCGGGCTCTTGTTGTGGTTACAAAATTGTTATGTTTGCTTCATCAGTAAGCCTAGCTGCGATGGTGACCAGTGCCAATCCACTGCTGTGAATGGACCAGAAGTGACCATTGAACCAAACCCATGGCGACGAGACTGGACCTTAAAGTGGTTCGATGATTTGCGTGCCTCAGTGATCCATTGAGCTATGCTGGGAGGTGCCTTTTGCACCTTCAGAGCCATTCATACCAGATAGTCAATGGTTAGAAGCCAGACAAACTCAGCAACCTGGTCCTCCAGGTTGGGGGTTGGAATGAGGGTGGGTTCTTACTCCATAAAACGAACTCTCTGTAGTCCAGTGTCAAAACCCCGCTGCTTTGTGGTAAGACTTCTCAACCAAAGGCTTTGGTTGAGAACCCGAATCGTTCCCCTGTCTTGGATCGAGTAACCTGACAGTATTCTGCCCACGCAATACAATGAGCCTTTCGACTAATAAATTCTTGATGCTCTGGCCGTTGCAGACGATAATCAATGCCGCCCAATCTGTTGCATCGAGCACGGTGCATAGGGTTTGGATGCTACTTCTCAGGCCTTCCGTCTACGTATCCCCCTTCTTTTGATTTTCATTCCTATCGTCCCCCACCAAATTTAATTTTAGCAAACCAAATTTCAATTCCCCAATTCTTGGCCCTCCCCCACCATGCTTCAATAGTCGTTAGTCTTCTAGTTTCAAATCACACTGTCGTAGGGAATCGCTCCAAAAGAGTCCTAAAGTCGATGTTCAACCACACGGAAAACGTCGGTTCAACCGTTTCCCTTTGGAGTCCTCGCGTCTCATTAAGACTGGCATGACTCAACGAATGCACTTTATTACAGATTGGACAAAAAACAATTGTTCGCACAACAGAGACCCTATCGATCGATATTTACTGTTTATCAGAAACCCGCCTGCAAGATTCGAGCTCCGTGCTTACTCTGCGATCGCCCACATGCGACACTAGCGGCACATTCTCATCTTGCCTGTCTGGCGATGATACAGCTTCAAAGGTCAGTCAAGCTGGTGTCGGCATTGTTTTGAGTCCCCGGGCTGAAGCTAACCTGATCGATTGGATCCCAGTCAGCAGTCGGATGTGTGCCGTTAGATTAGCTGGTTCGTTCCATGCTACGAAGTCGCGCGGGAACAAACGGTGCCTGTTTGTCATTGCGGCATACGCCCCTGCAAACTGTAGCACTGATTCGGTGAAAGAGGATTTCTATCCGCAACTTCATGATCTCCTTCGTTGCAGAAGAAGCACGGATACTGTGATGTTGGCTGGCGATCTAAACGCCCAAGTCGGAAAATTGTCCTCTGATGAAATTCACCTGAGCGGCCAACATGGTGTAGGCTCCCGAAAAGATAACGGTGAGCGATTACTACAGCTGTGTGAAGATACTCGTCTCTTTCTCGCGAGCACTAACTTTCGACACAGCACCCGCAGAAGCGTGACTTGGCGCCCACCAGCTTCGCACCATTCATGGACGCAAATCGATCATATCGCGATCAGTTACCGCTGGAGAGGCTGTGTCCAAAACAGTCGCTCGATTTGGAGCACGAGCGTGGAGTATGACCACGCACCTCTCTGCGCCGACCTCCGGACGCGTTTCGTTGGACGTCCGCAACGTCAATGTGAACAGACTGACACCAGCCAGATGGCAAAGCCTAGTTTTCTGAACGTGTATCAAGGTGCGCTGACATGCGGGCTGAGTAAAAGCCCACTGAACAGCGTCGATGATCACTGGTCGCGTATTCGTCAAACGTTACTATAAGCAGGCATGTTTATGTGGCAAATCAAATTGCTCAAACTGGACATTGGGTCTCTACACAGTCTCTCGAAGATATGGATGCTCGCCAACTTATTCCGGCTGCAAGCGAATACAATGAGGCTCACAAAAATCTCGGGGCAAAACAACGTGCTAGCCTGAAGAAAGACCGCGAAATCTGGTGGTCTCATCGTGCATCGGAGATGGAAACAGCCGCTACCGTTGGCAATCATCGTAAGTTATTCCGTTTGATACTGTACACAGGTAGCAGGAGACCTGGTGTTAGCGAGACCATAGGCAACGAGAGTTGGCATCCGATCCACAGCCTGTCAAAACGCTTGGAGCGTTGGGCTGAACACTTTGCAAGGCAATTTAACCAACCTGAGTTATCGCTTTCTTCTTCGGGCACAGAGCGCCTGTCCGCCTGGGCCGCCTCCTTGGAGCCGCCCTCATGCCCGGTAGTAGAACATGAGATCAGGCTGCTGAAATTGCAAAAGGCCGCAGGGGGAGATAGGATTCCGCCAGCCCCTTCAAATTCGGGGGTCCTCCTCTAGTAGATGATTTATACAAGTTGCTAATGGAACTGGGAGCAGGAGACTGTCCCGATAGACTGGAGCCGCTCCGTCATTGTCCCAATTTTCAAGGGAGGCTCCAGTTCGGAATGCATCAGACATAGAGAGATCAGTCTGATCTTAATTGCCTCTAAATTACATGCGTCTGTCATTCTCCACGTAGAGACTGGCACCCGTGAAAGCCAGATTCGTGAAGAGCAAGCCGGATTTCGTCTAGGTCGGGGCTGCATCGACCACATCTTCACCTTGCGTCAATTGTTGGAGCGCCGCCATGTTTATTGGCGACCCACCGTTGTCGTGTTTCCTGATATAAAAAGTGCCTTTGACCCAGTCGATCGATGTGCCCCTTGGGACAGTCTGCCGAGGAAATGTGTGCCTGATAAATACGTAAACATTATCAAAGCGCTGTACACGCATAGTTCGGGCAGAGTTAGGGTTTATGGCAGACTGTCGCCACCCTTCAGTATCAGCAGCGGTGTGAGACAAGGTAGCCCGCTGTCCCCTTTCCTCTTCAACTTCGCTATTGATGAAGTCATGGAAACAGCGATCGTTGGACACGACTTAGAAGGTGTGGAGCTACTCCCTGGTGAGTGACTTCTTGACTTGGAGTACGCGGACAATGTTCTCCTAACCTGTGGCAGCTCACTAACATTTCAAGCAGCACTGGACCAATTAGTACTGGCTGTCTATCGTTTTGGGCTATGCTTTGCTCCAACGAACTGCAAAGTACTTCTCCAAGATTGGCAGGGACCCACCCCTGCGCTAACGCTTTGTGGTGATCTGCTAGAAGTCCTTCAGGAATTCAAGTACCTGGGCAGCTAGATTAGCGCCCGTGGGATCGAAGATGAGGTTACGAACCGTATAGCAAAAGCTCAAGGTGCTTTTGACAATCTCCGCCATCTGTGACGCAGACGCAACATCACTCTTGCCCTGAAGGGCAGAGTTTACAACGCAGCCGTCCGTTCAACCCTCCTGTATGATTGTGAAACCTATCCCATCAGATCGACAGACATAAAGAGACTCGTCATATTCGATCATCGCTGTCTTCGCAGCTTAGCTCATGTCTGGTGGGAGCACTGCGTGAGCAATGAGCATGTTCTACGTCGCGTATTTGGTGCAGGAAGAGCGAGTGAACCGCACAGCACCATTATATCACGCACCAGGCTCCGATGGTCGGGCCACATGTTGAGTATACCAGCACATTGACTCCCGCGACGTGCATTGCTTGCATGCCGCGGGCGCTGTTGGAAGAGGATGAGAGGAGTCCAAGCAATGACGTGATCGAGAGAAATGAAAACCCTTACTTCGAAGTTGGCGTCGGTTGGTTCATCCCGAGTGCCTGGCTGCGGTCATAAGGACGATTAACACGTTTAGTTGGACACACTTGCTGATATGGCTTGGAGCCGGCCCCAACGGCGCTTGTGTTGTGAGTTCCTTTGTCCAATCCCTCCTGCTTAGCCTCCCCCTCTAATCACGATCTCATTCGCTAGGCATAATGTAACCCTTTTCAAGGCACGATAGCCGGTTGTTAGCTCTCCGGAACGATTTCCATCCGTTACTGGGGACTCAGTCGGCGAGCCACTGTTGTATTTTTTCTTCCTATCTTTAGTTTTGCGGCACAGTAGCTGAGATGTTTTCCACTTGCAGCTAACGTGTATAATAATGATGATGATGATGAAACCAAGACTGCCAAATTATATGTGGGTTGGTTTGTCAGCACTAACGAGGGAGAACTATAACAATGTATGAAGCGTCGGCTCCGTGTAAGAATGGATGGCAGTGGTGTAAAACAACTGCTGGAAAAATGTATTTTCCCATAAATCGTACCCTAGGGGTCAGGATTGAGTGAAATGGTTTGCACAATTTACACGGTATTTTACAGACCGATGTGTTTGGTAGAGTCAAATTGACTTCTGTTTACGTCAGTTTATTAGCAATTAGCGGCTTCTTTGGTTCCCCTGGAATAAATACATTGCTACGTGAGTTGGTTGTCGTTCCTTCAGTCCGGGGTCGATTTTCTGCTTGTTTGTATTCTCTTCTGCGGGTCACTCAAATTCCCATGTTGTGCGGACACGCCAGCGGAACTGAAAATCGTTAACTTATGAATGGGGAAGCCAAAAATGTAAAGACAGTAAATCGAATAGAATGAAAGATTAGTCAAGACCAGCTACACCAATGTAACTGATTAACAGCATAACAGTGACGACTAATCTGAGTGTAGGCGGTGGGCGTAAATTGCACTTGTGGACTGCGCATGTTTTAGCAGCCCTCCAGATAATTCATAAATAGTTCCGTGAAATTTGGACCAGCGATGAAGAGAACCCCAAACAAACGATCTACTGATCACCCAATAAAAGACAATCTGGTGAAAACTCAAAGGATGTAGAGTCCATGGATTATTTAGTAATGGACTCTATATCTACCACAGCTGTTTCGGCAAACTGCTTATATGTGGATTAGAAATAAGACAGAAAGATCAAGAAATAATGCAATTCATAATCCAAAATATAAAGCAGAGCAGTGAAAGCTACAACGAGGCTGTGATGCTAATGAACTATTTTCTTTGACGGTCGTTACTTGTATGTCCACTATGTATGGAAGCCTTGATGAGTTTGGGTCCGACATTGTTTGGATCATTTTGTTGTTACGGTAGCATTGAAATGAAGCAGCGGTACAACGCGCTAATATTCTATCGGTGATGTGGATGGGGAGATAATGACATGGTATCTGTGACTACCCGGTAACCGTAGGGTAAGTGGCTTTAGTCACGAGCCAATGGACACTACTTTAAACCTCACAACAACGCCACTTGCTCTCTGCTCCATCGGATTCCCTACATTACGTGAGGATGAACAGTGAAACATTTGTACCGTTCACTAGTGTGCGCCTGATAAAGATTGCTAATACCGAAGAGTGCTTGAATACTGTGAGCGTACAACAATGAGAGACGTGTCATAGAAGAAACAAGTTCGGGCTGAGTGAAACGAGTACAGTGGAAAAGAATGTGCCATTCAGCTTAGAAAACAGTGAATGTGTTTAAGATTCGGTGAGACTCAGTAAGCATAAACAGGACGAATTTTGAGATACCACGTGTCGAACAGCAATCCCGTAAGCGGCGAATTGCACGTGCAACTTAAACTGGCCGCTATCCAGAAGTATCGACAAATGCTGATGGTCGTAGACGATGGTTGCATTATGTGTTGGTAGTAAGTGATTAACAGCACGTTGCAATAGTGAGGTGAAAAGAGAAGAAAATAAGGAAATCGAGTGATTAGGTTAGTAAACAAGAACAGTGTTCGAGAACAGTATTCGAACGGCATACAAAACCGCGACATCTACTAGACATCTCGAGGTTTTGCCCAACTTGGTGCAGCGACAGCATATAAGGCACGTCAAGAAAGGTGGTTAACGACATACGGAAGACATGATTTAACCAACGTAAGCGATTAGGCCTCAACAAATATTATAGTGAGGCACCAGAGGATCTCATTCTAAATGCCTCAGTATTGCATGTCAGGTGTTCTCCAAAGATATGAGCCACGTACATTCCGAAACAACGGGTGATCAAAGACGGCCAATTGATTGATGAATTTACTGTGAATTGGCTAGGTCCCTGATCCATACAGCAACAACGACCTCACCGCAGCGTTATACACCCTACCTTTCACTGACATCCCGCTGTCTCAATAGATTATTAGGTTTCTTGAAAGTCACTAGGACTTTACTGATGTGCGAAGAAATTTCAATGATGTGCTCACTAGAGGTGACACAGCTACAGTGAACCAATCGACCACTTCCAGTGGCTTTTCGGTGATAGACAAAACCGGTAGTGTGTCGGCCTAGTCCTGCAACAATACTCTACACTTGGAGGGTGCAAGGCACATGCTGTGAGGTGTAGCAAAACACGCCAGCCTATTCCAGTAAAGTGTGCATATCCAACCGGTGGGCCACTTCCTCGTGATATTGTCAAATTACAAACAACGAGTTCAAGTTACATATGATTAGCTTAAAAGTTGGGCGCTTATGTGAAGTACGCACAACGCAGCATGGTCAGAACCCCGGTCCATACACTAAATTGATCGACAGTCATGAGCTGAGGGACGCCATCCGTAGGTGACGATAGAATGAACAACTTGGGTCCAGGTTAGCGAGGAATTCGGTGGGTGCCAGGTGACACGACGTGAAAGTTTGTGCTAAAGAACAGTGCTGCCAATATGAAAACGATACATTAGTTCCAGTTTTGGATTACATGGTCTAAGTGGGGACCGACTGAAAATCTAGACGAATTAAAAAAACCTCACAAAGTCAGACAAATGTTAAGCAAACTGCGTTTATCAGGCTGATACAGAGCGCTGCGTAATCGGATATGCGAACTGCAACTCCAAGATGCAATGTGTTGCTACAAGATAAGGCGAACACACTACCGGGTCCCTATATCACCAAATGACCAACATAAATTGATCAATCGATTCAGCTACGTAGCCGGATGTATCTTTTAGGGATGACAAGTTTCCAAAAGGGTTACAGCGTGTATCAACAAGACCAGTAAGCTTTAAAAAAAACTGACTCATCCGTAGAGGCTATCGAGTTATCGGTTAAGACGAGGTAAAATGCTGGGTGCAATCATTTTACTACAGATCAGCGAAATGGCCACTTAGTGCTGAGAACACTAAACAGTACATGTCATCGGCCGTTGGCGGCTTCGCAATATACCTCGTATTTGGTTGGACAATGAATGAGTGATGCCGGTTGGTGTCTAGCAGCATATATTCTGACGAAGTACTAGGTCACCTATTTCACCATAGCATACTATTTTAACGTTCCTTTGGTGCATGTGGATCACCTACCTAGGTGTGTAGGGTTTGGGGATAGCACTGTTGGTTAAAGAAAGTCAGTGGATAACCTACCGATCAAATGCAAAAAATGTCATGAAGAAGCAGCCTGAAAGACAGTCCGAAAGGTGCACATCATCCTTCTAGATTGGACTGACTCGTGCTAGATCATACCAATGATGACATATTGTATCCATGTTATTGTGCTTCGTTATTAGTCATTTGTTGGCAACCCTTCCGTTTTCCCTTCGATTTTCTTTCTGCTGGCCAGGTGTATGTAATCCGTTATTTGTCGTCTGTCACGCGTTCTTGTATTCTGTTGACGGAGCCAGCCACAGTAACTGGATCCCCCAAAATTCGATGGCCGGAGTAGCTTGTTTGGAAAACATAATGATCATGGAATACGAATATTCCTAGCATGCTTAGCTGAAAAACAGTTCTGAGCTAAAACGTAATGGATTGTAATTGCACCGAATTTCTGAAGCGTTTGACATTAAACTAAAGGACATGTAGAAAAACTTCCGGGTGATGGCAAGTGGATGAGGGGCGAATATGAAATAGTGGGTTAAGGAATTGTGTAAGCTTTCAGTCTATTAGCAGCTAGCTGTGACAGCAATGAACGTCACACCGGTATTCTAAGGAGTTAAAACAATTGTCGATGCAATAAACGTATCAGAAATAGTGCGGCCTATATATTGAAGCATGCTAGATCGGGTACTTGAAATTATCAATCAGCAACGATAGCAGCTAAATGCACTAATGTTGACATACAGTCGGCCCAGACGATTTGCGTGAATTGCTGGTGGTTTATTAAAATAAATAGCTTATCGTCACAAAATTTGAAAAACGACTGCAGATTAAAATACAAAGCAAATAAAATGCAGAAAGTGGGCATAAGAAAGAGATTCTCACGTAAAATTGAAAAAATATGACATTTGAGGCCAATGTACAGCACGAAATAACCCATCAGATCTCGACAAAGCCGACCACTTGCAATTCTCAGCTAATGAAAACAAAAGAAAGTTCGCAGCTGCAGAGCAAGGAATGTGACACGATACAATGAGAAGCTGACAGCAGTTAATCGATTGCTAGAGTATAAGGAGCCCAATTTTGGAAATGTAAAACCGAAAGATGAGCCCCTAGAATAGCAACGAGTTGCACTTATCTAATTCGACCTTGATCTGCCTCTAGAAGCAAACCAAAATGCTTGCGGTGGGCAACAAAGGGGTGAGAAAACAGTCTATAAGAAAGGCGATTTTGGCGCACTGTATCGCGTGAATGCCCAAGGTCGAAAGAGAGAGGAAGGCGAATTTCGTTTCGTTCCGAGGTAGTCGTGAGCTCAGCTGACTAAGTCACGTGGGAAAGCCAATCGAACCAAACGTGACACAAAGGACGTGAGAAAATTCGCGTTTAGTGGATGGCATACTATAGTGCAACCAGGTAGTACAAAGAAACTCACCCAGCTCATCGATGAAAATTATAGCAGGCTGTAGCTTGTGGGCCAAAGTGAAGGTGGCCTCCACATATTTCTGCGTTTCACCATACCACATGCTGACAAGAGTAGAGATCTAGGATGGAGAAAATAGTAAAAAAGATATCAGTGTGTTTTGTGCGATGCGCTGGCCGAAAACAGGGATGCGCTGGAGCGGCGGCAAGAGTGCATGATAAGAACGAACAGCAGTGTACATTTTTTATTTTCTTATGTATTGCATCAAAAAGCTGTATTTTCCATCTCTAGCTAACGTGCATAATGATGATGAAAGATTGAAATCTGTTGCAACACGGTAGCTAACGTGTAAAATGATTAATGATAAAATCAGAAGATCAGCTTCATTGAGTGATTAATCCAAATTCTCATCCATATGATTTACTAGCAAAATCATTTCAGCACTGTATCGGAACCCTTTGGTTTTAACTTTAAAACATTTTGTTCCAAAACTGATGAAATGATCGTTTACACTCGCTGTGGTTGGGAATTTTTGCGCATTTTTACGCATATGGATTGGTCAATTCTAAATAGTCAGGCCATACGAAACAAAATGAAATCGAAAGGAAACCTGGGAATTTTACACAGAAACACCGTACAGGATGGCGGTTTTGTATATCGGAATAAAAATCATGGAAGTATGAGTCTATCTATTCATCGGTGTCAATATCCGGCCGCTATGTGCAAAAGCAGATGTCAAACGCGAAACAGAATACTGTATTGTGGGAGCAAGTAGAAACTTGAATCTGTACAACTATCAAAAGGTGATCGAAAACACTAGAAAAACTATGACCCATCAACACAATGGTCGTTTTTCAAGTTATCCTGTGATTTTGTAAAAAAAAATAATGCAAAACCCACAGTAAGTAGGTAGTCACGAATGTGAGATACTGTTCAGGGTTAGGTCTGTTCTCCGAGATGAAGTTGAGTTCATTGCAGACGTTTCGTCGCCAATGGAGGTGACTTCGTCAGTGCGTAGTAAGCAAATTGATTGATTTGTCAACCTTTGATCGACGAGAGAGTGATGTAATCGTTGAACTGCTGCACCGAGTTTGTTTGCACCACATGCTCCGGCAAACTGAATCAACATTTACCACTCGCCGTTCAAAGCAAAAGCGATGGGGAACTCGCGTCAGCTCTGGAACCACACGCTTGTACTAATGTCCGCGTGTGCTGTAAGGTGTGCACAAGTCAAACAGTGGCGTCAGCATGATGAAGTCATCTAGATGTAGAATGTGATAGATCATTATAAGGTCGACTCTCATCCGATGATAGGCCAAAGCGTACAGCCCCAGCTTCTCGCACCTGTCCTCGTACGGTAAGCCCGGCAAACTAGGGATGAGCCTGGTATCGACGTGTTGGACTCACTCAATCTCTTGCGCCTCGCCTCTAGAGATGGGGCAACAAGCGGGCGAGCCGTGCTCTAGCATTGGTCTTACGATGGAAAAGAAGCGAGTGACGATCTTCTCAGGCCAGATGCAAAAGTCGCGTTTGAACGCCCAAAAGATGCGCAGTCCGTTTCGGTGTAGCTCGTTCCGTTTGTCCACAGACTTCAAAATGCAACATAAAAGCCGACCTGGGTTCTTTACGGAAGCTGCGGAAAGTAGCATTTAGCCACCGTGTGTAAATTCGGCAGTCACTACTCTTGCCCAGACTTAGGAATACCGAATTGGATGGGTTGACCGGCAGACGGACTTCTGTAGACCACATGGAAAGGCGGTTGAAGTCTTGCCGAAGAAGATAGCAATCGTCGGAAATACTTATCACTCTCCACATCTTCAGGTGGCCATCGACTTGCAGCATCCACTTTCGTTTAATCATCATAATGAGGTGTGATGGTTTGCGTGTCTCAGCCATCCATTGAGTTATGCTGCGTGGTGCTTTTACGCACCTTCAGTGTCAATCATACCAGAGTGGTCAATGGTTAGAGACCAGACAAACTCAGTCTCTTGGTCCTCGAGGTTAAGGGTTAGAAGGATGGTGCCACCCTATTCTTTAAAACGGACTCCTTGAAGTCCACTGCCAAACCTGCTACCACGCAGACAGGTTTCTAAGTCAAAGGCTTTGGTTAAGAACTCTAATCGTCCTCCTGCTTAGGCCTGGGCAAACCGACAGTATCCTGCCCACGCAATACTATGAACCTTCCCTCAAGCAATTTCGTGATGATCTGGTCGACGCAGAATATAATAAACAGCGCCCTAGCTACTGCATTGAACAGAGGGTTGGATGCTACAGCACAAGCCTTCCAATCTTCATATTCCCTCTCTTACGCGTTTTCATCCTTATCGTCCCGCTCCAGCTTCACACCTGTTTTCAAGTCTACAATTCTTGGCCCTCTCCCACCATGCTATGATAGGCGTTTATATTCTATTTTCAATGCACAAGCAAACGCAGAGCGTCAATCTTGCCCTATCGACAATCCCATGTCTAACTAAGCGAGCAAGCCCAGTTCATCGGCTTCTATTTGGAGCCCCCGATGCAGTACCCCCCCCCCCCGGATTGGCATGCCTCAACAGGCACCACTTACGCGAACATTATAGACCCTCTGGATCGATATCTGCTGCCTATCGGAAACCCGCTTACAAGACCTGAACTCTGTCCTTACTGCGATCCCCTTCGGGTGACACCAGCAGTATTTTCTCATTGCACCTATCCGGTAACGATGCAGTCCCGAGCACCGGTCAAGAAAGTGTTGGATTATTCTGGGTTCCCGGGCTGAAGCTGCTCCGGTTGATTGGAGTCCAATCAGTAACCGGATGTGTGCGGTCCGATACGCTGGCTCGTTCAAAGCCGCGCGGGTCTAATAGGTGCCTGTTCATCATCGCCACCTACGCCTCCAAAAACTGTAACGATGATTCGGTAGAAGATGACTTCTATCACCAAATGAACGAGCTCCTTCGCCACAGAAGAAGCACAGACACTGTAGTGCTGGCTGGGGATCTGAACGCTTAAGTCAGAAAATTGTCCTCTGATGAGCTGTAGCTGAGCGACAAACGTGATGTAAACTCCCGTAATGATAACAGTGAGCGGCTACTCCATTTGTATAAAGATGCTCCTCTCTTTCTTGCGAGCACTAACTTCCGACACAGCACACGTCGGAAGGTGACATGGCGCCCACCAACCTCGAAGCAACCATGAGCGCAAATTCATCACATTGCGATCAGTTACTTATCGATGCTCGCCGGCACATTCCAGCGGAAGCGAAGACAATGAGACTCGCAAAAACCTCCAAATAAAATTCCGTGCTATGTCGAAGAGACCGCAAATCCTGGTGGTCTCATTGTGTGTCAGAGATCGAGGTGACCATTGCCATTGGTAACCATCGGAAGTAATTCCGTCTGATACGGAAAACGGGCAGCAGGAAACCTAGTGTTAGTGAATTTATGGGGAGAGTGGACAGACCACCCACAACTAGTCAAAACGTTTGCAGTGTTGGGCTAAGCACTTTGAAAGGCAATTTAATCAGCCGAGATTGTTAGACTCCTCACCAGCAAGTGATCGCCCTACTCCTGGGCTGTTCCTATGGATCTCACCTCTCGCTCAGAAGTCGAAGGTGAGATCGAACTGCTGAAGTTGAATAAAGCCCCGGAACCAGATGATCTTCATCTACTCCTCTTCGAATTCGGGGAACCTGCTCGTGTTGTTGAGTTGCACGAATTATTACTGAAACTGTCCCGCTTTAAGGGAGGCTCGCGTTCGGAATGCGGCAACCATAGTCTGATCTACACCGCCTTCAAATTGCTTGATTCTGTAATCTTTCACAGACTGACTAGCATTCGGGAAGGTCAGATTCATGAGGAGCAAGTCGCGCTTCGTCGAGGCCGGCGCTGCATCGATCACATCTTCACTTTGCGTCAGTTGCTGAAGCACCGTCACATATATTGGCTTCTTGCCGTTGTCGTGTTCCTCGACATCAAAGATGCGCTCGATTCGGTGGATCGATGTGCCCTTTGGGATTGTCTGCTAAGGAAGAATATGCCAGAGAAACATGTAAATATTATACGAGCGCTTTACGCGCGTAGCTCGACAAAGTGAGAGATTATGACAAGCTGACATCGCCCTTCCATATCTCCAGCGGTGTGAGACAAGGATGCCCGCTGTCACCTTTCCCCACAACTTCGCTATTGACGAAGTTATGGAGATAGCGTTCACAGGACACGACTGAGAAAATGTGAACCTGCTCCTAGGTGAACGACTTATTGACTTGGAGTATGTTGACGATTTTGCCCACATTTGTGACAGCTCATCGACGTGTTAAGCGGCTCTGGACAGATAAGCACTGGATGTCAACCGTTTCTGGCTATGTTTTGCACCCTCGCAGTGCAAAGCTGTCCTCCAAGATTGGCAGGGATGGTATCTTGCGCTGAACCTTGGTGGGGAGCAGCTAGAAGTGGTTAAAAAAGTCAGCTACCTAGGCAGTTGTATTAGTACCGCTAGAATGGAAGAAGAGGTCACAAACCGTCTAGCAAGTGCACAAGGCACTTCTACTAACCTTCGCCATCTATGGCACAGGCGCGATATCACACACGTCCTGAAGGGTACAGTTTACAATGCAGACGTATGTCCGACCCTACAGTTGCACATTCGTTCGCCGAGCTTGGAAAATTGTTTGCACACGTTTCACCACCATGCGGGGTTGCATCATCAGTGCGCTGAGATGCTGTACGGTGATGAAAACTAGCGCATTAGATCAGTCGACATAAAGAGGCTAGTTACGTCCGAATACCGGTGTCTTCGCAGTTTAGCTCATATCTGGTGGGAACACGGTGTGAGCAATGAGCGTGTTCGAGGCTTTGTTTATGGCGTAGGAACAAGAAGTGAAGCACTCAGCACCGTTATTACACGCACCAGGCTCCGATGACTGGACCATATGTTGCGCATGTCAGCTCATCGACTCCCGAGACGTGCGTCGTTTGCCCGCCGGGGGTATGATTGGAAGAAGAGCGGTGGCCAAGCGATGACTTAGTCAAGAGGAGTAAAGGCTCCTAGTTCGAAACTGGCTTCAGTTGCAGCTTCTCAGCACCCTGGTTGGGGTCCGAAAGACGAGGAACACGTTTGGTTGGATACATTGGTTGACATGGT